TAATGAGGTTTCTTTTGTTGTTGTGGAGTTCTTCCCGAAGTGCAGGAAGGAAAGTTGCCAGAGTCTGAGACAAGTTTGACTTCTACATGATAGATGGCGACACCACACCTATCTCTAACTCCCCAATTAAGACATAGGCTAGAGGTGAGGGAAATATTCTCCAACATCCTACACCCGTGGTTACTGCTGTGGCGCCCACAACATTTTCGTACCCAGTGATTTAACGAGCATGTACTCCTTGTGTACTCGGAAGGTATTTGGTGGGACAGGAACCGAATCCAGACCATCCGGTCTGGAGTCGGTAGCTCTAACCACTAGGCTTCCTAATGCCCTGATAATACATTTAAATGAATTTATTGAAGGAATTATGTAGCTTCTATTAAGGCATTTTTTTATGTAGCTCTAAATCATTGAAGCTTAGTAAAATGAAATTTAAAAATTTTTTTATATAGGTATCACTTCCTTTGGAAGAGCTTTTAATTACAATAATTAATATCAAGTTTTACAAACATATCAGTACGCGTATCATTACTCAAATACTTGAATTTAACAAGTTCTGTAATAAATAATTTAACAATAGAGAAAATAAGAAATTGTGAAAAAAAATGTATAAAAGTACATGAATTTACCCAAAAAACTTCCATTTGTTCCTTTTCTTCGTCGGTTAGTTCCTAAAAAATAAATGGTTTAACTTTTAAATATAAACTTCAGGCTCTATCTATCTTTACAATGTTCTAAATGTGTTCATTTTGAAACCAATTTTAATGTTAAGTTATCTAAATGTACATTATAGTATTATTATTAAAACAATAAGTGAAAAGTATTCAGTGATTCATTCACTTACTTCTGTAACCATACTCAGTATACAGTCATTCAGCTGCAAAATAGAATTGGAGAGTAAATTAGAAAAAATTAAATCATTTTATTAAAGGCAGAATAAAATAGGAGAAACAATTATTAGAAATTCAGGAGGGAGTTCAACACTTAAATAAAAAATTGTGTGTGCGCTTATGACCACGCGATAGAAGTGAAAACTTTTAATTTATTCTGGGAAAGAGAATCCAATTGTTGGGATGTACTGCGTTTTTCATACGACATTTTCTCCCACGGGAGTTAAGTAGTTCTCTTTTTCATACTTTATTTTTGGTGTATTTGTTTATTTCATTCATTTTCTATAAAGGGCAATGCCTAAATAAGAATACTTTTTTATGTATTTATATATGAGTATATACGATTTATATATAAATGTCCAATTAGTCTAACTATTTTAAAATATCCATATGTAGATTACTTATATATAGATTATATTTATATAATATATATATTTATATACTATTTACACATACTATCGCAATATTGCGAAAGTTCAAGATAACTCGCCACCCTGATTCTTCATGTATTGTCCGCGCTGAATTTTGGCAACCATGTGCTTCATTTTATATAATGTCGCCAATACCGTTGCGATAGTATATAAGTACCATTTATATAAATTATATAAAGACGAAAACTATGTAAGGGTAGGAAAACTTATGCTTTGTGGGGGAACCATTTACTATTCTTAAAATCTCTAAGCAAACAAAAGGAGAGGGTTCGAACGTTTTCACAATCAAGGCTTTTATTTTTTCAGGATCTCTTTCTTGTCCTCACGAATACAAACCAAAATATTGGCAGCTTTCTCGCCAATTAACTTCGTTACAATTTCAGATTATAATTGTTTTGGAACATTTTTGAGCTTAAATTCTCTTTCTACTTAATAAAAATAATAATAATAGATCCCGTTTCGGTACTTCTTATCTTCAAACTTCTACATAAGAATAATTTTTTTTATCGCTTGCTCTTCTCCCGTTCACTCGCTGGAGTTTAGTAGAAGTGAGCTACATGACAGTAATATTTAAATAAAGAAAATAAAATTTTACATAATAAAATGCACCTGAGACTGTTACTAAGATAAACACACGCCTAAAATGTTTTCAATTCAAAACTAAACGCGCGTTGCCGACTAGAGCCGAATGACCGTAACGCATCTGAAAGCTTCATTTAAATTCAGTCTTCTGCAAAACGCGCTGAAAGAAGTTATTACTTCAAAAAGAAATTCGAAAAGTTTTAACGATATTTAAAATGATCTTAAATTTATCCACTGTTTTTCTCGGCATTTTTTTATTTGTTTATCGCAGCTTTGTAGTTAGTTAATGGTGACGAAGTTCTTTCCATGAAGCTTCTTATTTAACTTTCTTCCGGAATTGCTATTTGTGCCTTAGCTTAATTTAAACAATAATCTAGATACTTGACCTATCTTCTATGAAATTTCAGACAATGCCATTATATTATCCTTTTAAAATGATTTATTTCACTTTAAGTTCGAAGAAAAATCATGATTTAAATTATTACGTTGATTTTATAACACTAGAAGGTCGGGGAATTTGATTACCCTTAAATGTTCGCCGGTGTCGATTCGACATCATGATATAAAGGTATAAAACAATTGCAATAACGAAATATTTACTGGAAGCCCAGTGGCTTGAGTGGTTAGAGCATCTAGCTTATACTCCACGGGTGCGACGTTCAGTCCCCGGGCTGGGTAAGGCTAATTCAGCCTTTCATCTTTAAATTTCGATAAAATGAGTACCAAGCTTGCTTGCGCAAAGTGAACAGTGGTGGTTTTTGCGTCAGACTGACCACCTGACCGGACGATCTGCTCATGCACCTTGGGCCCAAGGTCGCGTATACTGAGTTGGGGTCCGTAGGTCGTAACCGGCGGGATGTCACGCCACAGAGATAAGTTAAATAATTGCTGAACTACTGTTCAGTAGGGTTTAGTTCTAAGATTTTTTAATATTTCATGTAACAATATATATTATGACTCTTTATTTCATAAAAAAGCTGTAACAAAGCAAATTACTTCATTCTGTAAGATGGAATTAAAAAATAATATTCATTAATATTATTATATTAAGGAAAAGCATATAATTTTTGTGAGAATGCAATATTTTTCATCATTATTTTCGTTTTTATGCATAATGATTCAACATACCTCATTTACAATGAATATACAGTGATATTCAATTTTTCCTGTAGATTTTCCGCAACCCATTAGGATGCTAGAGACACATTTTTTTTTAGTTGTCTGATAGCCGACGTTCAGCTCCAAATCTGGTTACTTAACCACTTCTTGATGAATTCTTCGTCAAATATTAATCTTAAACGCTATCACATGTCGCTGCTTACTAACAATTAGATTTCAGAGCAATTAGCTCTTCACCATTACATTGCATGTTCAATGACTGACACCGCAAATAGTAGGAGACATTGGCATAAAATCAAGTTTATTGTCTACAGAAATTGGCTTTTAAACTAAAATCACAGGTGGAAGAACATTTTCCCAAGAGGATTTCTAGAAAACCCGAATCTAATCCGTTACAACTGGTTTTGACATTCAATATACAATAACGTAGCCTTTGATAGGTTCTAACGACCTAAAAGTTTTAGGGTACCCATGCTACACGTTGAAATGACCCATTTCAAGCAAAACAAATAGTTTTATTTGTTTGTTTTTATATTGAATAGAGCAATATTTTAGTTTTATAAAACATATATCACTAACATTTCTACATTACATAGAAGTCAGAGTTTCAATAAATTACACGAAATAACAAAACCGGGAAGTTGGTCTTTAATCTGCTAGAAGCTGGTAGTTAAATTGTTCAGAAAATATCAATGGCGAGTTTGATAACTTAAAATATTATTAAAGTATTTCTATTGAACTTTTTGCATCTGATATATGTTTGGCGTAGCTAGTCCTGAGTGGGCCTTGTATGGAAGATGTTTTAAACCCTCTTCCAGGCCTCTTAATAGTTATGAACTTTTGCTTGAACGTCGTTTGTATCTTTTGAGTCCCATATCATTGATAAGGCTGATAAGCGGTAGCTACGCCCCTGCCTGTTATTTTAATAACGACCTCTTATTAAATATGCCATATATTTTATAATATATTTTCGATCAACCCTCCGAAAGTGTTTATCTTTTAGTACAACATTAAAATTTTAGCACATTCTCTAGATAAATGCATCTAATTTGTTTTAGTAATACTTTTAGTGATAACAATTTATTAGTTTTTTTTCTAATTGCTTTGAAGTTTTTCAAAAACATTGCTGAAAAATTTCCCTAACAATTTTGATTTTTTTAAAATTTAGATAATTTATTTTAAATATTCTTGTGTGTGTGTGGTTAAGTATTCCTATTTATTGCCATTGAGAGAGCCCTAAAACGTAATTATAATATTTTAGTATTCTATTCTAAAAAAGTTCTCAGAGCGTGTTCGGACACCTTGAGCGTTTTACTATGTCTTCGTGTTTTTTTAAATAAAAACAATTTAATTTAAATAAAAATAGAGTTCCATTTTATCTCCCATTTGCTTCTATTTCCTCTGCGTTAAAAAAGAAAATATATTTAACTCATTTTAAAAATTAAACATTTTTATCAAAATGTTTTCTCGTTTAATACTTAAATATGACTTTATAATGTGTGATGTTTGCCAAATAGGGTTAGACATATTTTTTTGTTTTTTGTCAGTAGTTAAAAATACTTCAAATTTTTATCTTCACGATCATATGTGAAGCAAAATAATGTTCTTTAACTACTTTTCAACCCCCATTACAGTTGCTTTTCCCCTAGTTGTGAAGTAAGCCTTTTCACAATACTTGCAATTTTTTGTTTATTTTTTAATTCCTACTGTTAGTTCACTCTCTCTCTCTCTCTTCCTCTCTCTCTTCCTCTCTCTCTCTCTCTCTATATATATATATATGTATATATATCTTGTTGAAATTTTCAATTCTTAATAAAATACTTTGAATTCATCACTCAAGTTCGAATGCATTTTCAAAGCTTGTAGTGGAAGGAATTTGATGTTAATACAGTTCTTTCAAACATTAATTCAATTCAATTAATGAATAAATAGTAACAAAAATAATATTATAACACTGTATCTAAAAAAATTGCTTTTCGAGTCAGTGAAGCGCGAAAGGATCGCGCGTTGGACATCTAATCCAAAGGTCGTGGGTTTAAATCCCACCCTGAATCCATCCCTGAGATGGCAATGGCCTAATTTCTGAGAATGTGATTTCTTTTTACTATACTATTTTAGTTTTATTAAATTTAATTAATGAATAAACAGTACAATAAAAAATAATAAATCCAACACCAAAGAAACGAAAATGGTCTTTCTATTTTGCTAGAATATTAGTTAAATTCACTCATATGTATATAAATATTTATAGTAATTGCAATTATTTATTAAAACTTAATTAAAAATGAAATTTTTGGCTTTGTTAACCTAAGTAGGAATTGACTTAATTTTTTAAGCCCTATCACGGGCCTCTTAATAGTTATGAACTTTTGCTTACACGTCGTAACGCTATCATCTTGGGAGCCCCAAAATTGATAAGGCTGAAAGCGGTAGCTAAGTGCCTGTTATTTTAATAACGAACTTTTATTAAATATGCCAAATTTTTAATATATTTTCGATCAACCCTGTTTATCACGTGATAGCATTCATTAAAATTTTAACATTTTGACGATAAATGCATTGTTGTTTTAAGTCAATACTTTTACATGAAAAATTTATTAGAACTTTTCTAATTTTTGGTTTTCCCGAAACATTGCATAGATGATTTTATGCGTGGCCGAATTATTGAAAATTTAGATAATTTATTTTAAATACAGATGTTGCCAGGCAGTTTGACATCGCTCACAGCGTTGTTTCACGGCTGTGGAAGCCATTTAAAACGTAATTATGGAATGTTAGATTGCATTCGGGAAAGATCGTGTTAGAAGTACGACGCCTGCAGCGACTATATATCGTCCTATTTAAAAAAAACAATTTAACCACAGCTCAAAAGGTGGCAAATCCATTTTTCTGCCTCAGGATTTGATCTCCCGAAAAACTGTTGCCAGACGTTTAAAAGGGAGGATATATTTAACTCAGACCTGTTGTTGTTCCATTTTTCTCAAAATGTCTTCCCATTTGCAATGGTGTCGTGAGCATCAAATTGGACTGAACAGGACTGGGATGTTTTCTCAAATAGGGTAGGTTCAGTCTGTCATCGGATTGTAGACGCCAACTGATCTGGCGCGTTTTTTATCGTCAGAAAATATCCTGAAAAACCGATAACCGACATGGACTATCATTGTGGGCCGGCATCATGATCAATGGCCGCACGCGCCTACAGTTGTTGCGAATGGGACAATGACGGGCAATTTTTTGTTTATTTTTGAATTCTACTGTTACTTCCTCATGTTCGTCTTTTCCGTGGTGCTGTCGGTGATAAATTTGTTTTTATGGACGACAACGCAACATGTCATCGAACACTCGCTGTTCAGGATTGTCTAATAAAATACGTCTGTATTCATCGTGTTCTCAAGATCTAAATCCATTGAAAATCTTGTGGGATGCTTTGGGGAGGCAAGTTGCTGGTCAAACATTAATCCTCCGACAAACAATGAATACCCTCATCCGTGCACTCACAGAGGAATATTATAAATTGCCTCAACAGCTTGCTGGATAATGTTGTGCAAAAGTATCGCGACGTTGGAATGTTGCGTCACACTCCACGGGTTTACATATCCCGTACTGATACCTTTCTTTAAGATGCTTGCTGACTTTTGATGCATTGTTCCATTTCTCCTATACTAGATCAAATGAAATTTAATTTTAAACAGATGTTTCACAGCTTTTGTAACTTTCATGAAAATAAATATTCTTTATTCTTGTCTTAACAGTGTGGCAATGTATATTTTTATCCTACTTGGCCTCATGTCTATTAATGTTAATTAAAATGCAATTTGTGATCCGTTAACCTAAGTAGGAATTGTCCAGCAATATAGAACTAGTTACATTTGAAAAGCATGTTTTCGAAAGTAAGATAAGCATAAGATCAGCATAATAAAGAAATTCTTTTAATCAAAACTTAAGCTTTTGTGTCATTACTATATATACATATATATATACTATATATATTGTCAATTAATTTTTATGTTATATATACAAATCTATATCTATAGTTCAGTAAAAAAAACGTAAGTACATTTTTCTTAGATGAATCTATGTGTTATAGCACTTTTAGTTCTTTAGATGTGCGAGGCATGCTCAGAAACTCAGTACCATTTTGGAAAAACTCGCATAAAAAATATCTTTTTTTCCAAAAAAAAAAAAATATTTTTAAATGAAATAGCATATCAGAAGCTATTTTCCTATTTAGTTGCTGCCATTGATCAGACATTTGTATTATAGAGCTTGTCCATACAATGTTTAAAAAAAGATATCACCAGTGAATAGTTTTGAAATTTGTGGAAACTCATTACAAAACAATCTTATATTTTGAGAATTTTCTAATTTACTTTTTCATCCAAACTAGCATTGACAACCGAACGCCACCCCCTCCGTGCTTCGTTATAAACATTGGGGCGCCCATCATTCAATTGTCGAATCCCCTTTCTCACCAACCCGGTGTTAATCAAACTGTGGGGCGCACCCCCAGGGGGCGGGATAACTTTACAATGACGTAAGCATATTGAAAAGTAGAAAACAAAAGATAATTAAAAATTTATTAATTTACTGAAAGTAAACAAATAAAAATGCATTCTACCATAATAAAAAACAAAATTAACATTTACACTGCTACCGGGTGTTTCAAAAGTCGCATGGTAATTGTCGTTGCTTAAAAACCAAAAGGGTTAGTTGAGATTTCTGTCATTAGATGGCGACAGGAGCCCCTTCATAAGAAGTTTTGAATGTATCAGGCCTCAGTTTCAAAATTCTTGTCGGTTATAGTGAGTTGAGCACAACGAGATGTGCATGATCCAGATAAAATCCACGTAAAACAGCACCAAATGCATCAACGATAACACGTTTAGTGCAACGGCTGCGTGACACAGGATCGGTTGCAGACAGGAAGTGATCTGATAGAACTTTCATAGTGAAAACGAAAGTGGCAAATGTGGAGACCGCTTTACAAAGAAGTCCAAAGAAAAGACCGTCCTTCTACATGAATATTATTACGGATTTCATATCCTTGCTGAACAGTGATGAACGGTATCTTGGTTGCAGCATGACGGTGCAACGAGTCACACATCATCGGACAGTATGGAAGTTTTAACTGAATTTTTCGATTATCGTGTCATTTCCAAAGGACTTTGTCCCCCACGTTCACTGGACGTGTCAATTCTAGAGACTTTAATTTGGAGATATCTGAAAAATGTCACCCTCAGGAACAATCCCCATATGCTTGATGAACTTAAGAATAACATTCTTCATGCAATATCCGACATTAAATCTTCTACTCTTCCGTAAAGTGTCAATTATTCTGGTAAAAATAGATCGTCTGTATACCAAGAAAAATGAACATTATTTTGAACATTTACTATGGTTTCACTATGTCTGACACCTGACAATAAAGATAATCGTTCAACCTTTGTTTGTCCTTTATTCTGTTTGATAACATAATTCATGTCATTAAAACTCAAATACAATAGTTGATGTGCACGACTTTTGAAACTCCTAGTATAATACATTTATAAATACATCTATACTGCACAATATATTTTATAATTAATTTAAATATTACATTAAGAACAAGCTTAATAAATGCCATTGACCCCATGGGCTTGTCATATATAAAATTATGCACTAAAATTAATACTTATCTTGATAATGTGAACGGTTTATAAATAATCTCTTAACAGCCAATTAAAAGTTACTTGATTCACATCCCAATGCCTTCGTATTCTACCTAAGTCAGTGCTTCTCAAACTTTCAATACTGGCGCCCCCCTTTTCGATCACAATTTTTATCGCGCCCCCTTATACATTAATAATGTACTGAATGCAGTAATAATGCAATAAAAAAGCTACAATAGGCGATTTTAATTATAAACCATACAAATTAGTAACATAAGTATTAAATTTTGTATACTACTTTTAAGCAATAAATAAATAAAATAATAGGATAATTATTATGTTATTTTTTCCTTTCTCTAATTTTTAAATTGAACATATTGCAAAATGCGGTGGTTGCTCAGAAGACAAAATATAGATATCTGCTAAATATAGAAAATGAACTCAGAGGGTAAATTTCTAATCATAAAAGCATTTTTCTTATAAAAACTTTGCTTTGCAAGACAAGCCCATGGAAGTCGTTAATACTTATTAAACTTGTTCTTAATTTAGTATTAATTAATTAGTTATAAAATACTCTGTGCAGCACTGATACATTAAAAGTATACCGGCTGAAGTGCCCGCTCTTTGCACGAGTTCATTTATAAGAAAATAAAACATTATTGATGTAATAGCTGAATTGTAAGGAGTGCAAAGCTAAATGCTCGACAATGTTTACAAAATTTAAAATGATTTTTTTTAAAAATGGTTGCTCAAATTATAATTAGTTTTAAGCGAATGGTAATTTTAAGCCTCACAGAATTAGCATTTATATTTGATGTTAAATAATGAACAATAATATAAAATTCCGTTGAAGAATAATTGTATTATTTTTAATATTTAAAGCGAAAAGACTTCAACATGTTTTAACCCGGGAACAGGCTCGCACTCGATACGGTCGAGCGGGGTTATTGAGTCACCCCAATCCTTTTTTTAAAAATTATTTTATTGTACACGATACAAATCGTGATTCCAGTGAATAATATAATTATGAGAAAGTTTACTTACCTACTTTCAAGGACTTTTCAATTTTTCTTTGGTAACCAATAAACAGTTTTGCCAGAATTAACGATTTCGTAATCTGTGCGTCCCACGCGACCACTTCCGGGTAAAAAGTGTATTCATTATGATTATATGAAATTGTGTAAAACGTTTTTCGCGTTATGCTTCATATGTATAGAAAATTCGTAAAAATAAGTCTTGGCCAAGTAATCCTTCAAAGTTTGTGTGTGCTCTCCGTGGTTTTCCAAATATCATAAAAGTCTTTTGCATGCTTAAAAAGCCTAACAGAGAAATCCATTACTTACAACTTCCCTAAATGAGAAACAAACACATAAAGAGAGGGGTCATAACTAACTGTACCAATAACTT